GAGCACAATGGGGGATCAAATGCTGTCTACCAGTCTCCAATAACTTTTTTTAAACACTCTTAAAAATGATCTCCATGCAAATTCATGAAACTTCTCTATTGTATTGTATCTAAAAATATATTAAAAATATTTTGAATAATCGATTTTTTCATCGTGGTTTATTAATACGCCCCTAAATTAAGTCAACACTCCATTGGTCGCGCTGGACTTACGAACGTCGTTGGTCGCGCCCTTAGCACCGCGCTGCACAGCAATAATCGACATAATGGTAAATTTGAAAGATCTATGAAAAATCTGAAAAAAATCAACAGTGATCCAGATCCTATACTTGAGGGAGTCCCATGGGATTTTTCATCCTCAGTGTTACCCTAAATTATATATTCAAATTATATATTCCGGGATAAAAATTTCAAAATCTTACTACCCATGATATTTTTGATGGAAATTTTCATTGATTGGACTTTTAGACACTTCAAAATGAGATGTCAAATTTTTTCAAATTTTTCTCAGGCTTTACTGCAGTGTTATTTATAAAATTGGAAAAAGTGCGACACGGTGCTCATAGCGCGACCAACAGAGTGTTAAATGCTCTTGCAACAGGAGCAACAGAGACGACACTAGGCGAATCCCTGCGCAAGACAGAGACACCCCGGGTTATGCGTGCGACGTCGCGCGCCGATAGATAAATGCTAATATCTCGAAAACTGTAAATCGTTGAGACTGGAAGAAAAAACTATTTCATCCACCATGAAATTACATAAATTTTTTGGTACCCTATTTTCACCTATTTCGGCTGCACGGAAATTAAGCGATTCATTGATTCCCAGAAGTCAATCGTTAGTTAATCAAATAAATTCGTGGGAAGAGCAAAAGTCTTATTCACCGCAAAAATTATTAAGCAATAAGAATAATTTTCTCGTTCATTGCGTTCTCGCTCAGTTGTCTATAATAATACTCATAATGATGAATACTAACATGTATTCATAGGCTGGAGATTAATAATAGAATAAAAATCATTTGAATCAATAGGAGACATCAGTATCAGTTAGTCTACATGTTTGCAGTATGCTAGCTCATTAATGATTGGACAAAAATCATAAACATGGAAAGACCCGAATGGAATCTCACTAGAAACAATTTTGCAAATACTGGCGATTATAGAAGAAAGTTACAAATTTATAGAACACAGAATTTTCTAACGAAACTGTTACGACATACGTAACGGGAGTTTTATTAAGTCAACGTTGCATCGTTCCTTTGATGCAATCGTTCCTTCAAGTTCATTACGGATTGAGGCAATCGAAAGAATTCCATTGCCATCTACTGGTTTACTCAAGAATCACCGAAATTCACCGTAGAGACGAACTAGACCGTAGAGCCATCTCTCATAAACTTTGAAAAATATGGTTTACTCCACCCCCCTAAGCCGTTAAACCAAAACTCGTTATAGAAATTTACTGCAACCCCATAAACCTTCGACCCTCTGAATTAATCCTGTTAGTCTGTCGATGTTCTGCTGACCGAGCCATGCTCTTGCTGTCGACAGGAGCAGGGCAGAAGGTCTATCAATCCCTGTCGACAGAGGCACGGCAAAAGTTCGGATTTTGGCTATCTAGGCAGCGTTAACACAGTTCGGCACTATCCCGTGAAAGCCGAAGCGAACTCGTCAGCCAGAGATAATTATCTCTGCGTCAGCGCTCGTGTTTCTTTCGTGCTCGACCGCGCTACGATTGGTTCATCCCCACTCCAGGGGGCTAGGTACGACTTGGTACGTATTTCGAGTCAGAGGGTTAATTCACAAGTTATAACATTGAATGAAGAGGAATCTCCCATAAAGCACGTGAGAATACAGATCGACAAACAATTTTCGATAATCATACCTAAAATTTTTCAATTCTTTCTTTTTCTTCAAATTAATTAGTACTAATGATCTGAAAATATGAACGAATATGAACGTTTGACCTCCCTTTGATCTCATTTCAATGGAACCGAAGAAGGAAATTGCAAAGAGCGATCGATCAGTATCAATAAAATGAGAAAATCGATTTTTCAAGCTTGAAAATTGCAAAACGTTTTTTCTAATAGTGAAGAAAAACCAATGTATTTTTTTTCTATTATCTAATTCTGATGGAAGGAAGTGAAAAGAAGAAGAGAAATGAGATCAAAATTTTTTAATGTCTAGGGAAAATTTTAAAATTGATATATTTATTCGAATAATGAACCAACACTTATAAATTCAAATCCTATCCTCACATTTTCATAGAATACATTGAAAAAATAGCAAAGAATTCAAATCGGTGATGAAAAATTTTATTGGATTTTTATTATGTAATAATAATGTAATTTAATTATCGGGGCATGATTAGGATTTCTTTGGCCCCACGATTTAACATGTTTTCTGTACCATTTACCCAGAATTACGGGGAAAATAATGAAAAAATTCCATCACGATTATTTCTCCTGAATTATGGAGATTTTTCAAGGAAGACGGGAGTTTATATAGCTTTTCACATATTGTAACGTTACAGGATATTGTTGCATAGGATTTTGGAGTAGGCAGGAGGGGAACCAGGATAATCCTCAATATTAGTTTAGAAGAAAAATTTACGGGAAAAATTGGATAGACCAGATCGGGATTTGAACCCGGACCTTCCGATTATGCACGGGTGCTCTCCCATAGTAAGGTAAGGTCATAAAGAGCCACAAAAAAGGAGTCGCTCTGGTTGAATGCGCTTCTGACTAGAAATTTTTTTGTTGGAGATTTTGTTAACTGAATTTTTGCGATTGCTGCATTTTTTTCGGAACAAAAAAATCTCTAAAAAAAATTTCATTAAAATTGAGTTCTGTTGTTCTGAGGTTGTAAATATAATCATTGAATGCAAACGCAGGAATGCGAGTGCATGAATTGGTGTCTCCAGTATAATAAGGATTCCAGTGGACATATTTTTTTTACTTCTCTGAAACAAGTCTATGATACAGTCCAAGCTTCGTACAAGATATCACAGGGACGGTAGGGGAATGAAATTCCGAGAATTACGTATCCCTCACTATACTTGCGCTCAGAGGGGACATAGTATATTTCGATACGAATGCGGAATAGTACATTACATGCCCGTGTCTTGGAAAACAGATCACGGTCCCTCACGTGCAAGATTGCCTTCCGAGCCCAAGGCGAGGATGGCAAGCACGTGGGTGAGTGTGATATGTTTTCCATGGCTAGGTGTGTATATTAATTTTCGTGTCGAGGGACCTGAAAAACGCCAATTTCGTGGTGATGTTTTTTCCATGGAAAACACATCACCCTCCCCCACATGCTTGCCATCCTCGCCTTCGGCTCGGAAGGCAATCTTGCACGTGAGGGCCGGTGATCTGTTTTCCAAGGCTCAGGCATGTAATATGTCGAGGGACCTGAAAAACGCCAATTTCGTGGCGCGCAGCGCAGGTCCTTCGACACGAAATAGTACATTACATACCCGAGCCTTGGAAAACAGATCACACCGTCCCCCACGTGGGGTTTTTCAGGTCCCGTGACACGAAAATTAATATACATACCTCGCCATGGCAAACATATCACCCTCGCCTTCGGCTCGGAAGGCACGTGGGGGACGGTGATCTGTTTTCCAAGGCTCGGGCATGTAATGTACTATTTTTCGCCCAGCGTGATGAAAATATTTTGATTTGATATTCTTCGTACAAGATAGTAGACGATTTCCATTTTTCATGATCATTTGAGTACGATTGCTGATGTGAAACCCGAATGTTTGATTAGAAGTAATTTCAAAATAACAATTTACAAATTCGGAATAAGTTGGTTTAGTAATAGGGGTTTGCGGAGCAAAATTGAGATTTTCATTAAAATTTCGGTTTTCATAAAAATTGGGTTGAATTTTGTTTTGTCTTGTCTATCTACCCATCCAAAAAATGGACATAAAACATATGGTGCAATACATGTAGAAAAAAAAGATATTTTACCAAGTTTTATGACCGATGCGTTTAATGCTTTTCATTAAATGTAACGAGCGGCCGTTCGTTTTGACATTCAATTGATGTATAATTAAGCTCTAGATCATAGATGCAGATATTTCCAGTAATTTCTGCAATATCTCAACTCCATTCCCACTCAATTCTAGGCCCTTTTTAAAGTATCTTATACGGAGAATACGAAACGAAAAAGCCAGAAAGTGGGGGTATCAGTCGGTACGGATTCAAGCCTAATAGTATGTTATACAAAAGTATCTTGTACGAAGACTGGATATAGTTTTTACATGAAATTGAATATTGAAATATTGATTTCATATAGGGAAGGGTGGGGCAATATGGACACCTGATAAATTCGTATAGTATAGACTAAAGTGGACGCTCAAACATTTTTTAAAAAATTTTCAATAATTGAATTTTTTAAAATTCCTTTTTTTGACAAAGTCCACAATCGAAAAATTATTCAAGAATAAGGGGAGGGGAGGGGGGAAACAAAATAGACACCTGAAAAAGTCTAAATCAACTTTTAATCGAGAAAATTTTCAACAAACATTTTCCAACAGAATCATGTTGGTATCTTTTTATAGAGAAAAATTAGAGTTGGAAGGAGATATTAGCAAATAAACTTCAACTCTATTAAATTTTACATTAAAAGTTAAAGTATAAAGTAGCTTTGGATTTTCTGCTTTACTATTGAAATAACTTTGAAATTATTGATTTCTTTTTCAATGTGAAAATGGCAGTCATGACTCGAGTTTCAGAAATTGAATATAATATTGTTGAAACATCAAAAATTGAGTAAGATATCGAAGTGTTCATTTTAGCCCGTTTTTGCTTTACCTTACAATTCCTATGATGCAGTCTTATGACAATATGTTTGCTTTTATAACTTTCAAATAAAGTCGAAACCGCCGCCGCACCCTCCCCTAATTGAAATTGCGCGCTCTTACCGCACGCCTGTTTTATCCAGCGTGCATTGAAAATCGAGCCTGTTTGCGTCGTGTACCCACCTCAAACTAATATGGCGCTAACAACTACATATTGTTATGGCCAATACCTCGATTCCATCAATATCTCCGTAAACATTATCCAGCTTATGATTGATACAAGAATTATTTTAAACATCACCAATTAACCTCAATAGTTACTAAAAATACTTAAATATGGATATACGTGGTATAGAAGTGACAAATCAGCTCCGGGTAAGTGAAAAAACATCACGTTACTTCCCTCAAGCTTGTCACTGATCAAGAACTAAACTCCAATTCAGCCCAATATCCTCTCATGATTTTTCAAAAATACTCGTAAAACATTAAAAACAATGCAATTTTAGAGCGCAATACGTGCGAAGCTCCTTGAGTTGGGTGTCCGCTACGATGAAGAACTACCAGATTACATTCTCGTAATGGTAGTAAACAAAAAAACCCGTCAGCAGATGCATGAAGATCTAAATTTATTCCTCGAAAATAACACAACTCCATTCGTCGATTGGTTGCATGATCAAGTGCTGAAGAAATTGCAAAAAGTGACGATTGCAAAGAAGAAACCTCCGAGGGAATTTCTACCAACAGTCATAGTCAAACAGGAGGAGGAACGAAAAAAAAAGCGCAGTATCACTCAAGCAGAAGAAGAGAGCAAAGAGGAATCAGTAGTTGAAAAATCACCTCTCAAACCTGTTCAGGATCGGACGAAGGATAGTGCAATTCCTCTCAATAAATTGAGTCAAATGGAGAATTTAGCTTCATGGTCTCCATCACCACCACTACAACCACATTCACAACAACAATCAGCCAGGAAATCATTTGAGATAGAAGAAAATTCGCCATTAGAATTGGACACATCTGAAAAACGTATTGAATCAATCGGTTCCAGTTCTAAACGAATTTCTGAACGAGACAGCACTACAGAGCGGCCTGAAAAACGATTAAAAATGACAGACTCATCGAAAAGCACGTCAAAACAGTCAGAAGAAATAGGATTCGAAGAAAAGCGAATAAAATCATGTATTAATAAACCAAGGATTACATCCGTTGTATCTGTAAAAACAACATTAGGGCTGACATCACCGAGAAAGAAGTTCCTAGTTAACAAAGACAGAACTGACGATACTGATTATGATTATCGTAGAAAAGATACGAGATTTGAGAAGAGGCCTTATGAGCTAATAAACCGCCGGAATATTTCTAGGGGAAGAAGTTTTGAAGACGAACTAGGGAGAAGCAGCCGTGAAGAATCGAATAATCGTACATCTTTTACTAATAATAAAGGCAGAATTTTGGGAGGAAGAGAATTGGCTGAAAAAGCTGTATTTCCCGTAAAATCGAGAATTGAGGGCACAACAGGGAATATCAAGGATCGATTAGGCCAAGCGCCAAAATTGAGAATTAAAGATTCCCAAGAAGATTATGCACGAAATATCAGAAATAGAATTGGAGCAGTCACAAGTAAATTCAGGGCCCTGGGAAGACTGGGAGTTCAAAGAGTGAACAAAGACGAAGATGGCGAAATTGATGAGGACGATACAGCTGTCCCGATAAAATCTCATATTATTGCTGTTAATAATTCTACAATGGAAAGGGAAGGGGTAGATAGGCGTAGTTTGAAAAAGACGAAAAAATTGGAAAACGATGACGGGATAGAGGCGGAGAATGAGGAGGGAAAGGCGCTAGCTAGTAAGGTTATCGTCACTCCTAGACCATTGAAGCCGCTTCAACCTGTTCAGAAGAGAGCTACTCAGTCTTTATTGCTTCGGGCAGTAGCTGAAGCCAATCAATCTGTGGTGAAACAAAAAAACCCAGAACCAATTTTAAAGGTGAGTAATAACTTCAAGAGATGAATTATCTTTCAATTTTTTTCTCGTGTTACGATTAAGTTTTCCATTTATATTTCTTGTAATAGCAAACAATGAAGTATTGTAATAAATTATTTAATTGCCTCTGATCACTGTGTACAATCACTTTAATCCTAATTGAAGCTGAGATAGATAGGTGGTTGCAATTTTGCGGGGATTTATTGATTTTAGTATATGTTATTGAGAAAATTCATTTTTAATAGGAGAAAATGCCAATAGTCAAACAACTGAGAACATCGCGTACAAGAGAAATAGCCCAAAATTTGTCAGTACATCTGAACTCCACTAAACGTTTAGTCATGGAAAAAATACAAGTGGAACTCACCAACCCTGATACTGGGGTTAATGATGATCCAGAGCCTTGTGAGTCTCATTCTGATTTAACTCATTATTTCTTATTTTTCATTCATGAGTTAATTCGAATTTTTCCTATTTTTTGTCGCCTTTGTTATTTCTAGACGTTCCAAGATCAGTTACTGAGGAACAAATGGGTGTCGTCATGTCCCTGTTTCAAAGGGGTGATGACAACCAAAAATTTCTAGTCACTTTGAACGGATACAACAACAACGTTATGAAGGAGAAGAATCTGTCGGATGATGAGGAACGGTTAGAAATGGAGGTAAATAATAGTAACAATAGAATCAATGAAAAAAAAATGGAAAAATTATTGGTGTGGTGATGCGCAATTTTTTTTTGCGAAGGTTAATGAGGAAGATGAGCTGGTACTGTCCAATGCTCCGAATGAGTCATCGCCTGGTGATTTTGAAGCATTGGAATCGGAGGAACTTGATACGTCTGGAAAAATTGAGGAAATGGAGAATAATGAGAATAATTGCATTGATAATTGGCCAGTTGAGGATCCAATGATAAAGAGAAGAAAATTGAGTCCCATTATCTATACCAGATCATCGAGCCCTGAGGACTTCACAACAGTCTCGCCCGGCGCAACAGGTTATCGAAAGTTGATTTTTATTCGTCCTTTTTTCAGTGTTTGTTTGTGCAATATCGTCCCTCGTAAGTTGATATGGTTCCCGTCCATCTTATCTATTCCTATTCCATTGAAGGTTTTGAAAAACGACCACCGGTTGCACCAGCCATAATCAGTGACACTTCGAGGGAAAAATGTCGATACTGGCCAAACTGCACATTGGGAAAAAAATGCGCATATTTGCATCCAGCTGTTCTCTGCAGGTGAAACAATTTTTGATTTTCTAATAGAATTATTGCATTCAAATTGATAGGGATTTATCAGGGTTTTCGGATAAATTCATTTTCAGTTGACGACTCATAAGATTAGTAGCAGATTGGTCTAGGCAGTCTTAAAGTAGTTTGAATAGAGTCCAGTTGGATCATTGAGGGAAACCGGAAAAAAAATTGAACTCCCTGAAAAAATAATAATTCATCATTGGTAATTGTTTATATGAGCGAATCCGCCAATTCTGTATATGAATAATTATCCCCAAATTTTGAAATTTTGACTCTTCCTAATAAAACAAGAGTATTTCATTTTTATTTTTAAAACAAGGGTATCTTAGAATTTCTGAATAAACAAAGGTATCAGAATTACGTATAAAACTTATCTATCTTAATTTTCCGGGAAAAACTCATGTAACTGAGACGAAATCAAGAAAGACTTATCTCAGTAACTCTGATTAAATATTGTGCAAGTAGTACTCATTTTAATATGTATAATTCCCACAGAATTCAGAATTTTTTGCTTCCGACTGGAAGTATTGTAACCGATGATTTTTGCGATCTTCCAATTTTGCCTGGAAATGATGTAAAATGTCATGAAACGTGAAGATATGATGTTTTTACAAAATGTGTGTATGTATGTCCGAAAGTGTGTGGTCATTTTTCGGAAATTTTTTATAAATTACACCAAAACAAGCAGGGGTTCAAGCCTATTCGACAGAAGGCATGCGACCGTTACTTTTTGTCTTATAAGTCTTTTTCTTTCTTTTATTTCTACCAATTCTATTGGTAGTAAGCTTCCGAATGGATCCGTACCACTTCCCTGTTCCTAAGACAGGCATACGCAACTACATTAGTTCTATTTCTATGTGGAAATTATTAACTAACACTTGATATTGAAGAAATTCAACCTTGAAAATTAGAGATTAGATTGCTCAATTCGAGATTGCTTGATGAGTGGGCCTATTAATAATTTTCTAAATCTGGTATTGCTGATTATCTCCATGATTTTCAACTAATATCTCATTTTCTTATAAAATATGCATAAAGCAGATTTTTTTTTTGGTCGAATTTTAGTTTTTCTAATTTTGATTGGAAATGGTCAAGAATGTTATGAAACGTGAAGAAATGATGTCTTTCGGGTCATGTCTGTATGTATGACTTTGATGCGTTGTTTTATACCGATCGGTCCAATAGTTTCTGACATATAACAACTTTTTTTCAAATTTTTTCAAAGATTTTAAATATCCTGGACAATTTTTCGAAAGTGTCTCCAAACAATTCATTTTCTTCATAAAAGACAAGAAGAAAATCGAATGAGAAACCATCAATGTTTTCTACCATCCATAAAATCATTTTATTAAAAAAAATTGTTATCTTTAACCTTTTGATAAAACGGATTTATACAAAAACAAGAAGCACGTTGATCGTATTGGGGATGAAAATAACCTGATCAAGATATCTACTCCTGCAAACTTCTGCAACCTGGTGCTCGCCTCTCTCATAGAGTTGAGAATGTAACCATATCAAATAGAAGAAGAAGAAACATCTAACCCTTGCAACGTATATTCATCAAAATGTCTGACTCTTGGAAGGCGTACAATTAGACTGATTTCATAAACTGAAATACTAGCACCAGTCAACTTAGGCAGAAGTAACGATACAATATTTATATGATACGCAACGTTGACTAACGACCACACTTTTAATAATGAGGATTGGTTTATATTACCGACACACCGCCCTATGTCTCCGTCCCAGCTATGAGATTCTATCAAATATTACATCATAGAAAATATAAAAAATCATAAATTTATGTTATATGACTGTTGAAGTCTTACGGAGAGAAAAATCATTGATAACATGACGATGTATGATTCATCCAAAAAAAGATTTTTGGATGAATCGCTCTACGCTAGGATGTACTGAATCGATTCACACAAAATTTTATACACAAGTGTGGGTTAATAATGCGAATCAGTAGCCAAAATCTCAGATGTTTACTTCCAGTTTTACGTGTATTATGGACACCACATGAACTTTTGAATGAAAAAAACAGAAAAACGCTGATATTTCGGAAAATTTATATGGGTGGGTATGCATATTTTGATTGATCTTGATAGAAGGTACGATGACGAATATTTTGAAAAAAAAAAAAGTAAATCGGCCCAGTAGTTTGCAAGTTATTGAGTATAACAGTTTTTCAGAAAAAGTTGAATATCTCCTAAACTACTCTTCCGATTCTACCCATCTACAATCCCCGCCGATGGCACTATCAGCGCTACAGTCGTACAAAATTTCAACTTCCTATCTTGATTTTTCAGTTATCGCGCGTACACCGATTTTCTCATTCGATTTTCTTCTCGTCTTTTATGAAGAAAATGAATTGTTTGGAGACACTTTCGAAAAATTGTCCAGGATATTTAAAATCTTTGGAAGAATTTGAAAAAAGTTGTTATATGTCAGAAGCTATTGGACCGATCGGGATAAAACAACGCACCAAAGTCATACATACAGACATCACCCTAAAGACGTCATTTCTTCACGTTTCATAACATTCTTGACTATTTGCAATCAAAATTAGAAAAACGAAAATTCGACAAAAAAAAATCTGCTTTGTGCATATTTTATAAGAAAATGAGATATTAGTTGAAAATCATAGAGATAATCAGCAATATCAGATTTAGAAAAGTATTAATAGGCCCACTCACCAAGCAATCTCGAATGAGCAATCTAATCTCTAATTTTCAAGGTTAAATTTCTTCAATATCAAGTGTTAGTTAATAATTTCCACATAGAAATAGAACTAATGTGGTTGCGTATGCCTGTCTTAGGAACAGGGAAATGGTACGGATCCATTCGGAAGCTTACTACCAATGGAATTGGTAGAAATAAAAGAAAGAAAAAGACGTATAAGACAAAAAGTAACGGTCGCATGCCTTCTGTCGAATAGGCTTGAACTCCTGCATGTTTAAATTTTTCTCTCATTCCTCAAGCTTCTCGATACCTCCATACAACTCAAATCCATGCAGCTGTCAAAAGCATGAAAACGTAAGTGCTTGAGAATTAATTCCATGTGGCACGTGCCGATCAAGATGTCAAAACAGATACCTTCGATAATTTCAAATTATTCTTATCCTATGAGGCGTAGTTATGCACGTAAGCCCTGGCTACTCTCCTCACTCTCTCAATTTCTTTCCCCTATATCCTCATTTTTATTCCGAATCATAAACTTCCATATATATCCATGCCAAAACTTCACTACAATCGTTTCAGGAGATGATTTAAATTTTCCAATTTATGAATTCTGAATTGGTGATCTACCCACTTATTTCTCCCGTTGAATCCTTGATGCGATCACTCCACTTGTCCCTCCCATTCATTTTATTAATTCTCTGGCATGAATGTGTTAACATATTATAAATTCATGATATGTCGACTATCGGTTAACCACTATTTACCAGCGTTCACGAAACACGTTTTTTCTGATTTTGTTGAGTTTTCTTCAGGAAATTCAGATAGATTAGTTTTATAGGGAATTCTGAGATACCTTTGTTTATTCAGAAATTCTGAGATACCCTTGTTTTAAAAATAAAAATGAAATACCTTTGTTTTATTATTAGAAAGTGTCGATTTTTTCTCTGCTTGATCGGAAAATGTAGCCCAAAATAAAAATGAGCGCAACCGGAGCTCTCTAACTCTGTTATTTATTTCTCCATAAAATATCTTTCCAATGCTAAGGACGAGCCACTATTGAAAATAAAAAACAAGTACACAATTGCATTTTTTGTACATGAGTATAGTTATTGTTGCCAACTAATTAACAATTTGCTTCCGAATGGATACTCTGTTTTTGAAATTTTTATTTTACTCCTTGCTATTGATTTTATGTTATAGAGCTATCATTGATTGCAATGACATCACTATTTTTACCTATTATTCCGTTTTTCTTTTCACATCATCCTGTATGTAAACCCCCATAAGCCCTGACCAGCTGATCGATTAAAAAAAGTTGATTGGCTGAACCACCCTCTCTTCCCGCCATTATTTTGAATGGCGGGGGAGGCTCATAAAAACGATCCCCAGACATTGGAGCTCAGAATCGGAAGTCATAGTCCTGGAGATGCAGACTGCAGTGTTTGCGAAACGTCGGCGCATTGCCGAAACCAAACGCGGCATCCATCCTGAAGCCAATGATAGCACCATACGCATATATACAGACACCGTCTGAAAATCGCATATTCGGGGCTTTTCAGAAACTTGAATTTGAATGAGTACAAAGCATGCATTCGGAAGCCAAAAACCTTATAAACAATATAATGTTGCAATTTAACAAAAAATCCTACGAATCCCATCATATTCTAATGGAATAAAAATCTTATCGATATCAATTTTTCACGTGGATGCGTCTATGATTTTAATATGGGGGATTATTTTGGGAAACGGTCCTTATGTGCAGCGCCATCTATCGGAAATCTTGAAAATTCTAGACATTTCGATGGAATTCGAGAAGTTTCTGGAAATTTTGGAAAAATTCAAGGAGTTTCTAGAAATTTCGAGGAAATTCAGGGAGTTTCTAAGAAATTTGAGAAAGAAGGAAAGACCATGGACGTATCCACGTACAATTACAGCTTAAAGTTATGATTAATTTCATTCCAATAACAACTTTTTGATTGATCGTTAAAAAATATTTTTTAGGAAACATAACAAAATTTTTGAAATTCTATGAAAAATTATATTTCAAATAAATTAAAAATAATTAAATAAAATTATATTTCAAATAATATTTCAATTTTGAACGAATACAAATCTTCAATCTGGAAACAAAAACGAAGGAATTTTATCAATTTTTCCATGAATATAGGCTCCAATAAGCTCTATTCACCGACACTAATAGAAATTTATTTTTATGTCATTATAGGCCCGATAAACCGCGATTCTAACCTTGCTTCGCTCAGTTATATCGCGGTTTTCGGGCCTAATGACATAAAATATCGTATGTCACACGGCGATAAAAGTATTATATGGCAAATGTGACGCTCCGCGTGCCTAAAAGTCCAATTTCCGCCACATTGTGATGAAAAATATTGTTCGTAACTCGTGAAAAAATGCTTTTTAGCTCGTGGGATTATATCACTCGCCTTCGGCTCGTGATATAAACCTCCCACTCGCCAAAAAAATACTTTTTTGCACTCGTTACGAAATATACTATTTCATAGAGCTTCAAAACTATTAGTATTTTTTCAAAAATCAAATTCCCATAGATGTATTATAACTAGACTGCGCATTCCCTATATCCCCTGTTGTTATGTCCTCCCAGATGTCACTAGGAAAACAGCGCCAAGTTTTGAATCGGCGAAAAAAAAGGAAGGCAGGAACGTTTTACAGCTGAAGCCCGGATGGGCAATCCAACGAAGTCCAATTAATAATCCAAAGAATAATTGATGAATCCTCATTCGTGGAAAAATTGGGATAAGGAAATATTTGATATTGAATGAAAAATACTGAGTGCTTCGGGAGAGCACGTAAACTATTTATTTAACTATCAAAACTGTATTAACTTTCACTAGACATTGATTTATATTTTGGAGATCTGCACTCTAAAACCGGACTCGTCGAACTGACTTAACTTATTCAAAACGTCCCTTTCGTGGGTCCTATAACTCCCACTCTTTTCAGATTGCGCACGCATTCTCTCTCTTTCTTATGTTTTAGTGATATCTTAAATGCTAGACTCAAAAAGTGGTGGGGAGGGGCTGGGCAACGTTGTGACGCAGTCAACTGTTGCCAGCCACCCCCATCCACGTTCTAGAATTTGGGACGCACGTGTGACCGGCAGAAAATGACGTTCTTGGGTTTAATACAAAGGATACAAAGGGAGATCTGTTGGGATTAGTCATGGACCTTTCTCGAGAAGTTTACGTCTGAATTTTATGTGTTTATGGCGACGCCAGAAAATCAACAGGCCTGCAATATTTATATTAACTCGGTTTATTTCTTTCGTTTATTTAAACTGTTTATGTTATTTCTCGGATGAATAGAGCTCTGTATTTGAGAGTTGAAATGAGACGTCATTGTCCACCAAAAGAACACGTGCCCAAACTACGCAGTATTGAATTTAATGAAAGAATGGAAATTAAATTATTATCTAATTATTCTGATTAAGGTAATATTCAAATTGACCGCTAGGTGCATACAACGCCACCTAGTTATGAACGGCCAACGACGTAACACATCCCCCCGTAAATAAAAATTTGAATACTTATAATTCAAATTTTTTGTGTACTAATGATTTTATAAATGAGCTGGCTTTAACCTATTAGCATGTACTATTTTAGTGCGAACATCACTTAACTTAATTCTTATATTCTCTCGTTCAAGTACTTTATCAACTCTGTAAGGGCCCAAGTAATTTGGATCCAACTTATTCGATTTTGCTTCATTAATCAAAAATACCCAGTCTCCTTCTTTGAAATCATTAGCATTCACTTTCTTATCATAGTACTGTTTCGACTTAAATTTAGCAACATCTAAATTATCTGCTGCTCGTGATTGTGTAACTTTCAGTTTCTCTGCTAAATCTCCAACATAATCATAATACGTAGCAGCAACATTGTCTTTAGCAAAACTTGAAGGTATTTTAGCGATTCGACCAAAAATCAACTCATGAGGAGTGAAACCAGTTGATTCATGCACTGAGGTATTGTAAGAGAACATGGCATATTTTAACCAACTGTCCCAGTCTCTCTCTGTAGTAATAAAATGCTTTAAATATTCAACGAGTACCAAATGACTTCTTTCCAAGGAGCCATTGGTTTGAGGATGAAATGCAGTAGTCTTTAATTGTTTGATCTTAAATAACTTCGCAAATTGCTTCATTAAATGACTTGTAAAATTGGCTCCTTGATCTGTTAAAATACTTTCAGGACAACCAAATACACAAATAAAATTCTCAGCAAAAGCCTTAGCAATAGTTGAAGCTGAAGTTTCAATTAAAGGGATGGCTAGACAATACTTTGTTAAATTATCCTGAATCGTTAGAACATATCTATTCCCTGAACTTGTGACTGGCAATGGCCCGACAATATCCAGAGCGACCTTTTCAAAAGCCGTCTGCGGTGTGTCAGTCACTATCATGGGTTGTCTGGTCTTAATCCTTACGAGTTTATTCTTCTGACACGTGTGACACTTTTTAATAAAATCTTGGACATTTGTTTTCATCTTTTCCCAGAAATACTGTCGTCTGATACGTTCATATGTTTTCAACACTCCCTTGTGACCACCTACGGCTGACTCATGCATTTCTTTAATGATTTTCTCCCTTTGATCAATCTCAGGTATTTCAATTTGATTCAGGCACAGAGTAATGTGACAACCAGGCGGAAACGTTTTCTCTAGATGCATTTTAATACTACCCCAAGGAAGTTTATCAAGTCCTCCCCCGGTTCTCGCAAGTCTAACAGTTTTCACTGCGAAATAATCCATAGTTCCCTTTAATTTTGTAATTCCCAATAAAACATTCTTCAATTCAATTTTATCTTCCACATTATCTTTAACTACAATCAGGAATATATGGAATGTACCGTGTTTAAAAACAATTACGTCACCGATTTCCGGTTTTTCCTCAGGTAATTCTTTTTCTTTAATTAACTGTTTCTCAATCAATTCCTGCAATATTCGAGTTCTCATTTTGAAATCTGCTGATACAAAATGTGCAATATTATCCTTTTTCATTAACAAACCATCTCTAGTCTCTGAGAAAACATCCAATATAACTCTTTTCTTTCTTTTTGGTACGTCAGGTTTTGATTGAGTAGCTTCATCGTCGTTATCCGATGAACTATAATTATCCTCACCTTCGGATATAGGATCCGGAAATGAGTCGTCACCGAATCGATCAACAAATTCATCATCAGTACTGTTATCAATTGGCTCTAGTCTAGAATTTGTATGAAAAATCGAACAATCTTCACATACGGGACCACTGCGGCTGGTTGGGCTTTCATCAATTTCTTGTAATTCAATCTCTTCATTATCACTTCTTTCGGCTGACTTGAGTGTTAGTATTTGTACTTGTTTATTTATCATTTTTTCTATATCTGTTCTATCTATTGAGGACGTCCCCTTGAGCATCTCATGCATGAATCCCTCGGTCCATGCGCTACCCGGGCCCGGTAATATCTCAATATACGAGTTTGGTAACTCTGGGGTTTTATTACCCTCAACTACGGGAATACTTGTTCCCACTTCAGGAGTAACGAGGCCCAAATTATTATCCGGTGAAGGATGTCCCTGTGTAGAGAAGTACTGTGACGGTTCATCAACTACTTCCAACCCTACACAAGGCCGTCCACTCATTGGGAAGGCTTCGGTCTCCTTAACTACGGTGCTTGTAGGCACCTGTTGCACTAAGTCGCAACATTCATATTTTACTTGGTCGATGCTCTTCCTAATCCTTCCTAGTCTATTTATGAAGTTTCTCAACTTCGAATCATTTTCCTGATCATCAAGTCTATTCAAGTCATCCTTCAGAAGGTTTTCATTCATCCCAATACTTTTAATGCTCTGCGTAAATTTAATACCTGCTGGTTCTAATTTATACACATCAACAGGGTTTCTTGACAAAGCATCCGCGTTTGCATTTAATCGCCCTGGTTTATAAATAACATCATATTCATATTCTCTCAATTTTAGTACCCAGCGCAGTAATCTCGATGTAGGGTCCCTGATTTTATGTGCCCACACTAGAGGCCTGTGATCTGTTACCAAATAAAATTTCCTACCATATAAATATGGTCGAAAATGTTTTACTGCAAAGACAATAGCGAATAACTCCTTTTCAATGACAGAATAATTGATCTCAGCACCTCTCAATAATTTTGAAGCATAAGAAATAGGAAGATCCTGACCTATCTCACCCTGACTCAACACAGCTCCGAGAGCGTAGTGTGACGCATCAGTCGTGACAATGAAAATACGCGTGAAATCGGGGAATTGGAGTATAGGCTCGACACAAAGCTTTTCCCTTAGAATTTCGAATGCATTTTGATGTTCACTCTCCCATACAAATTTTGCATTTTTCTTTAGTAATTGGGTAAGAGGACGTACGATTTTAGCTAAATTTGGTATGAATCTCCGATAATAACCGATTAACCCAAGGAATTGCTTGATATTTTTAGGATTTTTAGGGACTGGAAATTCTCGGACCGATACTAATTTCACTGGATCAGGTTTTACGCCCTCTGCACTAACAACATGTCCCAAGTATGTAACACTATTTTGCAAAAACTGACATTTATCAGGTTGTAAGGTTAATCGCGCTGTTCGTAATCTACCCATTAAATTCATGAGTTTTCTCTCATGTTCTTTAAGAGAGGTAGCATAAATGACGATATCGTCAAGATAAACAAATAACTCGACACCTTGTAAACCCGAGAGCACTTGATCCATCAACCGTTGGAAGGTTGCTGGCGCATTTTTCAAACCAAAGGGCATTCTTTTGAAATGGTAGTGACCGTGGGGGGTCGTAAAAGCTGTCTTAACTTTATCATCTTCGTTCATGGGAATTTGGTGGAAACCAGAGGCAAGATCCAGAACTGAAAAATACTTAGCCCCACCGAGTTGGTCTAATATATCAATTATATTTGGAAGGGGGTATGCATCTCCGATAGTTTTCTGATTTAATTGGCGAAAGTCAATTACCATACGCCACCTTTTATTACCTTTTGAATCTGGTTTTTTAGACACGATCCAAACCGGTGAATTATATGCAGAATGAGAAGATTCGATAATATCATTTCCGAGTAAATCTTTAACCTGTTTCTGTATTTCCTCTTTATGTACAGGGGGATATCTGTATTGTTTTGTTGAGATAGGCATATGGTCTAGAGTTGGAATTCTATGTGTTACAACGTTCGTACCCTTCAAACGATCGCCCGGCAAATGAACCTCATATGGAAACTTGGAAAATACTCTGATTATACTCTCTTTCTCCTCGGAATTTAAATTATTTAAATGAAGGCTGTCGATAACTTTACTTATTCTATCCGATAAAACCTCTACTTCAAAATTTTCCGATTCTTTTCCGGTATCATTTTTACTTGTTCTACGCGGCCATACATCTACATCTTCAATTGTTTGGGGTGGAATTTCGATTTCTTTCTCTTCCTCATTAGAATTTATCGCGTAAATCCAAGCAATACCCTTATGAATTTTTACTAGGGCCTCACCTACATAAATATTCTCGCCTAGATTCAATCTGGGTAAATATCCCTCAACAATGTCAGTATTAACCACCCTGATACCGATTTTCTTTCTACTTCGTGCTGGAATTTTGAAATTTTGATTGCCAAAAGGAATATGTATGTTTTTGTCGGAAATTTTTAAACAATTTTCTGTGAAACAAAGCGTTGCTTTTTCGTCTCGCAAAAATTTTGAACCCAGAATTCCATCGTATTTTAATGGAAAATCGTGTCTGACTACTTGAAATGGACAAGAAAATGAATCAAACTTGATCACGATTTCCCCAAGTGTTGTCTCTGATCCTGATGTAATTCCCGATAATAGATATTTCTGATTTTTATTTATGAAATTTTCAGGTAATAAACAGTTCTCTTTGATAAGATTGACATCAG